AAACGGCTACCATCACCAGCTTGAGAGTGGCAATGAAGTGAAAGCCGACAATCCAGCCCAGGTCGATCCCTATGTTTTCAAGTAAGCTGACTGAAATGAGCAAATCAAATACTACTGACCATCGTGGAAGCAGATATGGGATACTATAGAAATGACGATGGTCTCGACGATCAGGTCTATCGACAACTGGTAAGAGATATTGACGGATGTCGTGATGATAACGACTGCAAGAGCGGCGAGGCGAAACGTCGTTTTATGTATCAATATGGCGAGCACAGCAGAAATAATGAGAAAGCTGAGCGAGAGGAAGGATAATCCTTCTGGGCGACTGTTGGTAGCCATGGTGGTGTCGATGTCGAAGGGCGTTTGTAGGAGAAGGTCGTCTTTTATATCCCCGGTCTACGGCTCGTTCAGCGAATGGATCAGGAAGAAAGAAAGAAAAAAAACGATCTCGACCCAATTTGTTGCCTCTTGCTGATCGACTTGCGGAGAAAAAAACAGCTTGTCAGACCAGACGTTGAACCACGACCAGACAAATCAAAAGTTGGAGTCGCTGAAGACGAATGGACAAGTCCTGGGATGACGAATGAGAAATCTGAGAACATGGAAGCAAAAAGAAAACTTCTGGCATTACTCAATCGTCTCCGAATGGATGGAGGTCCGCCGACCACCGCTTAGCAAACGCAGCTTCAGCTGGTGCCTATAGATCAGGAGCTAGAGAACATTAGCTGTCGCTGGCGGCTGCCTATTTTCCTTTGAGCAGATCTGCCATTCAAACGGTATTGTCACGGTCAAGAATGAACTGGCAGAGATGTCTGGGTTGGTAGATTTTGTGCAACAAGGCTTCAAGCTTCAAGCTTCATCCTGGGCCAATCATTTCGGAATTACAGCTAGTGCTGGGTATGGTATCGGTTCATTTGATACATATGGGTTTGATACATGTATGATACCGTTTGATACCTCAGGCCAGGCCGATTTCAGGTATTGAACTCGTATTGGATGAGTTTTGAGCTGATGGATTTGGGTTCTTCTGTGACTGGCAGAGACCACCAGAAGCTCTGGGATAAAGTCTCATTGCCTCAGGTCAGTAACAGCATCATTAGCTTCCAAAATTGTTGGTACCTTTCAAGATCCTTGCAGCTCTGTATTCAATACGGTTCAATACAAGATCAATACCGGCATTCAATACACGTATTATACGGTATTGATCCAAAATTCTCGGCCTGCGGCGCCGGTTAAATACTGAATCGATACCATACGTATCTTTGATACGAGACCCCTGCGGATTCAATACCGTCTCAGACGACCCAAAAACAGTTCAATACCCTGCACTAATTACAGCGGTTTTAAAAATCATGTGGAATCGTCAATTTCTCGAAAGCTTGGTAATCGTCAACTCGGAGATCTCGGCAGCGCAGGTCGGAGCACTCGGACCGAGTGGGTTTTCACATGCCCGACGGTTTTGAACGGCATTCACCATTTTGAGCTCGCTGCTACCGCCCCGCCTGTATCCCGCCTTGTAGCGCCTTGTTCGCATTAGACAGCACATATGCATGAAACTTGGTGAAACTGGCTAGAAAAGATATGATATATATGTCTATACACTATGGTGATCTATTTAGACAAATATACCTATAATCACTTGCAGATAAGAAGGGCGGGAGGAGAGCGGGATGGGACCAGATGTGGTGATCCGACAATCCCGATCACTGACCAATATGGCCGCTGATGCAAGTCCGACATGCGCTGCCGAGATCTCCAAGTTGACGATTACCAAGCTTTCGAGAAAATTGACGATTCCACATGATTTTTAAAACCGCTGTAACATGTGGTTGATAAAGAACGAAAAAGAGACGATAATTAGATCGAAGAACTAACAATAAAAGGTCACGAATATGCAGGCGGAGACTTTGCCCTGACATCCTTTGAGTCGACTGCCGCTCTTTCCACAGCATCTGCCTGAGCCACAACTAGATCATCAGCTTCAGGGAGATCCTTTGGTCCGTCCAATATGGCCATAAAGCCTTGTCTCACGCTGTTGAAGACGATGCCATGTCCGCCTTTGCCACCTATCAAGACCTTGATCCATGAAAGTACCGCCTGCGCCGGTTCGGACCTTGCTTAACACCGAAGATGTTCCAGGACCTTGTGACAATGTGTACATAAATGCAGCCTATTATACCTCTCCAAATTAAAGTCATACACCCCGCCACCCCGACCACTTGAAATTTGGGACACAGGGAGCAAGGTGAGACAACCTCTGGCCCGCAAGTATGGCAGTTCCTTCACAATCAGCGGTCCATGGACTCTGTCATACTCGATGACAGGATCAATCTGTATCTTGCAAACTTCTAATACAACCCGAAAGCGCAACCCATCGGATTCATACAAGCTGTTGAGCTGCCCCCAAAATGCATAGCCCTCAACCGCACTCATCCGCGTTTCACCGCCAAAATTGTGTGCAGAGAACCCGATGGACAAGTGGAGTTTTCAGGAGTTCTTCCACTGTTGAACCCCTTGGCATGAGATTTCAACTGAACTCTCACAACTGTGAAGAGAAATGTAAACCTCTGTCAAAAGCGTGAAATCCTTCAGGGAAAAAAATGAACGGTCTGCGCCACATTAGCCAGGCTATGCGACTCATAACACACACGTACCGGAAAAGAGGATACAAAGTTTTACCAAGGATTTCTTGTGGTTCCTTGTCATTGTATCCAGAGACCTGCAACCTCCAACTTCAAGAGCACAAATCTTCACGCTCTCCCTAGAACATTCCAACGACCTCAATAACGCCAGTTCTTGACCACCCCATAATCTGAGCAAAAGACCGTCTGCGACAGACCTCGGACGCTCGCGAGGCAGGACACTACCATTCATATGCCAAATGGGGCAGCCCAGAGACAGAGTTGTGACAACAGACAGCGAGAGCAGAAATGGTAGGAAATCTATTTGTGTTTAGCACGGCTGACAAGATGAAAACAGATAACCCAAGCACTTTGACGAAGACAGACTAGAGAATAACCAGAGCAGAAAGGGGTACTTGTATTCTAAGTACCTATCTGGAAAACATTCTGATAGTGCCACAAATGGTACGACCTGTGAGCAGGGCAGCCTGAAGAAGATAAGCAGGGATAAGAGAGACAAAGCAGCGTTCATATGACCCCAAGGTCTTAATAGAGTCTCCTTGATTGAATGCGGGCCTAGACGGAAGTGCTCAAGTGTTTCTCTCGACAATCTTGAATAACTCCAAGGTCACGGGCGGAAACTTACGTCAGGATATTTGGTCGTATTCGATGCTCGGCGCAACCGGGGACACGAAGGCTCTGCAGGTCGCTGAGGAAAGCTTACGTCAGGATATTTGGTCGTGCTTGCCTCTCGGCGCAACCGGGGACACGAAGACTCTTCAGGTCGCAGAGGAAAGCTTACATCAGCATCGCACGTGCCATGTGGTGATGTTTGCTGCTCGCGGTATCTCCCGAGAGGTTTCAGATCAATACAGACCATAAGGAGACCTAGCTTACTTCGTTAAGCAAGGTGACAAAACGGCTACCATCGCCAGCTTGACGGTGGCTATGAAGTGCATTGTGAAAATCCAGGTCAATTGTATTTCTGTGTTTTCGAGTAAGTCAACTGAAATGGGCAAATCAGAAACGACTGGCCATCATGGAAGCATATAAGAGAGGCAATAGACATGATGATGGTCTCGACGATGAGGTCTATCGACAGCTCATATGAGATGTTGACACCAGTGATAAAGATGACGGCTCCAAGCGAGATGAAGCGAAATGTTGCAGTGTGGGCTAGGACAGAGAAGACAGCAAGAGCGATAAGAAAGATGAGCGAGACCAAGGACAATCCTGTCGGCCGACTGTTGGTGGCCATTTCGGTATCGGTGGGGTCTTTGTAGGAGAAGATGTCCTTTATGTACCGGTTAGGAGTACTCGGCCAGGCCAAAAAAAAGGGTGATCCGGAATGTACGATCGAAAATCGCGGAAGATGATGCCCAGTCGGCTCTAAAAGAGCCATCTACCGTCACCTACGCGGTCGTTGAGCAAATAGATCAGGGATAAGAACGAAAAAGACGATCTCGACCCAATTTGTTGCCTCTTGCTGATCGACTTGCGGTGAAAAAAACAGTTTGTCAGACCAGACGTTGGACCAGGACCAGAAGCTGCTCAAATTAATGATGTTGGAGTCGCTGAGGACGAAATGGACAAGATGAAGAATGAGAAACCTAGAAGCAAGAACAAACTTCTGGCATTGCTCGAGGATACCTACTGCATCGTCTCCGAATGGATGTCCGTCGACCACCTACATGGCGCATGGATTTTGAGCTCAGACCTGCTCAAACGGCCGAAAATCTTGAAGCAAACGCAGCTTGAGCCGGTGCCTATAGACCAGGAGCTATTAGCTCTCGCCGACGATGACAAGGTAGGCGAACCTTTGGGTCTCTTGCACTCCGCTACCTATTTTCTTTCTTCCTATTCAAAGTCGCGCTTGTACCAGCCGAGCCATTATTGTTGTCGCGGTGGGGGTGATTCGACTGACGAGCATCGCGGAGCTAAGCCAATAGGCGTGAAGGATATCGGATGAAGCAAGACGTGATTCTCCGCGTCTTGTCTTCAAAAGAGCTTTGACGATAGGCTGTCTATGCCCCCGTTGAGCAAAAACGACTATAGAACAAAGAGAGACGAACCTCGACCTAGTATGACTATCTCAATGGTATTATTGAATCCCAATGCCCTCGTCTTGTTCTCTAGTGAAAATCTGGTCCGTCTCCGATGACCAACGGATCAAGTCGCCTCTGCAGGATCCTGGCTCAGAAGGCAAAAGCAAATGGATCTGCCATTCACTGGGTTGGTAGATTTGGTGCAACAAGCTCAAGGCTTCCCTAGACCAATCATGTCGGGATTAGAAATGGTTGATAAGGTCGGACCGTACGGTGGTTGTGCATCAAGCGCCGCGAGTGAACTTGATGCGGCATTGTTGACACTATCGCATCCCTGGTAGTATATCGGTTAGTACACGCGCCTGTCATAGCCTTCTCAAAGAAATTTGTGCGCGCGAAAGCGGGGTTCGACTCCCCGCCAGGGAGCTAATGTTTATTCAGCTTAGTCTTTTTAATTCTAATTTTTAGAGCAGTCGTCGACCGTTCGTTGCCTGCAAAAACGAACAGAAACAAGTTATTGTACCGAGTAAAAACGAGAGCCATTGCAATTGAAAACCTTTTACAAAATCCATTAATCATTCTTAGTCTACCTTCTTCGTTGAGCCAGTCCTCTTTTTCGCGCCCTCCTTGGCTCCAGCTGCGTCTGTCAAAACACTATCACCAGCAGCAGCACCAGCAGTTGCTCTCGCCTTCAACTCCTTGACCTCATCCTGGGCCTGTATAAGATCCAAGATGATATAAAAGGTGCGAGTAAGGACGAGAGAGAGAAAAAGGGTGAATCCGGTGAGATACGTGTTGCGCTGCGCGTAAAACTTTCTGGCAGCGAGATTGGTCTCGGTTCTGACGTCTCCAACGTTGCCGCCTCCTCCGCCAGATTTTGCGAGGTCTGATTCAGCTTGGACGCGGAACATACGTTGAAGGGCATCGAAGAACAAAATAGCTACAAAGCTGATAGCAGAAATGAGAAAGGAACAGAGCAACAAGGAAATAGCAAGACGCACATGAAACTAATCTTCAATGCATAGGCGACTTTGGCGACCAACTTGTTTGTGAGAAGGAATTTGAAAAAGGCACGTTTTGGGGAAGCTGGCAAGGGTGCTACAAGGATACAGAACGTTGTCATCTGCAAACAAAATGTAAGGAGACGAGCGATGCCGATTTAAAGGAAAAGAGCACCTCTGCAGCGAGCAGCATGAACGTCAGACTGTAGTAGATCGTCATATTGGGAAGACTGTTGGTCTATTTCGCGAATTCGAAGCGTATTTGTAGGTCAAGGTCCTGGTAATGATGGTGGTTGAAGAAAGGTCCTGCGGAGACACGTCGTCTGCTGTCGTCTGCTGTGACATCATATCCGGCCGGCGTAGGTCATGTGGCAGCGCCGAACCCGGAGCCAAACAGCACCCGACACAAAATCCAATTTTCTCCTCTGACTCAGGACCACAAAATAATATCGTACACCTGCCGACGACCTTAATTCTCTGCGACAACCATTCTTTCCTTATTCCGAGCGACCTATTTCAGCCGACGACAATGCCACGAATCCTCTTCGTCAGTGGATTTCATCCAGCTACCCGTGCAAGGGATCTGGCATACGAATTTGAGCGGTGAGTTTACTTCATTTTTTTCAGCTGGGCGAACCGAGGAAATCCTGCTTTTTCATCATAAAAAACCCATTGGGACCTACCAGGCTTTGCTCGTCTTGCCACAACCCCTTTGTCCCCATAATCTCCTCGACTGTCCATGCTCATATCTCATTGAATCAATTCCCCAGATTTGGCCAACTGGTCCGTTGTGACGTCCCAGCTCCAAGAAATCCTCACGCGACGACCAATCCGTAAGTTCTCGCCTTTATTTTTCCCCTCCATTCGTTAGGACGACATCGATACGACCTGGATCGGCCTACGAGCGTTTTATCGATTATCCGAGCCATTCGTACGATTCTCGGGCCATCCTTACGATTATACGAGCTCTCTTTCGATTTCGCGCACCATAACCCGGGCTCAACGATCCTCAACGTCTCCCCAGTTATGCATTTGTCGAATTTCGCTCGCCGCGAGATGCTGAAGATGCCTATTATGATATGTCAGTGCTCTTTTTTTTGGACGTTTGACCGAATTGCTGATGATTTCGTTGCTGATTTTGTTTCATAGGCATGGAAAAGATTTCCAAAGTTCACGATTGAGCATCCAGGTTTGTTGAATTGCTGTTCGCGGGTTTCGCCCAGCTGATTCGATGTTCTAGTGGGCCAAAAATCCGCCTAGCGCTGTCTGGCGCGTCCGTGGTGGTTCTAGAAGTCCGAGGGATGATGGACGAGATGATGATCGGGACCGACGGGATGAAAGACGAGACCGAGATCGAGACCGATACCGACGAGACGATAGAGACCGCGACCGACACAGACGTCGATCCAGAAGCGCTTCGCCACCTCGACGTCGGGACGACAGAGACCTTAGGGACAGGGATCGTCGTGATGACAGAGACCGTCGCGATGATAGAACGAGGGACCGGGACCACCGTGAACCCAGAGACCGTGATCGTCGTGATGACAGGGTTCGTGACGAGGTCAGAGCTGAAGATGAAGTCAGAGGCCGGGATGACAGGGACAGAGAAAAAGAAAGAGACAGAGCTCGTACGCCACCGCTTCCAAAGGGAAACGACGGGCCACGTACACCGCCCTTCAATACCAGTGCACGTACGCCGCCTTATGTTGACGGGAGGTAGGGCGTGTCCTTTGTTTCTCTTGGCCTTACTTGGTATCTTCTTTTTTGCGATTGGTATGATTGGACGATGCAATTTTTTGGTACCTTTCTTCTTGTCTTTTTCGTAAATATGCGAATCATTTTGTAGTTTTTGTATGAGGTCGAAGAATAAATTTCCCACTGATTTACTTGATACATATAACTTTTTATTACAATGGCTGATCTTTTGTGCTCAGATTCTTCTCTTCCTGAGCACTATCAAGTATCCAAAATCAGGTGTTCAGCCGCTGTTGAGCGAGGTCGAATAATGCAAGGCACTTGATCAGCGTGACTGCAAGAATCAATTTGAAGTTTGAGGTACCCTTGCTTGAACTTACTGTATTAGTCCGATAGTGAACGTGAGTTGTGGCGTAATTTCTTTGCCGTCATTGTCAATAGCCTTGGAGATATCGAAGACAGCCAGCATGGAAGCCATGGCGATCCATAGCGATCCATCTGCAAAGTGACGCCCAGGGCAAATTCTTGATACTTGATGAGTCTTTCGGGAGGTTCGAAGTAGATAATACAAGCACCTTCGACCGTAGCCCCATGTGGCGGCAGGGTGTGGTTCATTGTTACCTTCTGGTTTGGGTAAGAAACGACTGGGATTGAATTCCTGTGGATTGGCGTATACGGCTTCATTTTGGCATATGCCGCTGGACACTCTGATCAGTAGATGTTTAGACTTGAATGCATTAGAGGTACGCGGCGTTGGCAAAGACAATGGAACCTTTGGGAATGAAGTAGCCATTATATATGTCTGGTTCTGTCGTACGGTGAGGTATCCCTGGGTAATCATGAACGACTCCGTCTTGAATATTGATGAAGGTAGATATTGATACCTAGATGCACTGTAGGATACCAGCTGGATATCCCAGTGAGTCAAGTATTGTTCAATGAATAAAGGGATTGGTACCGAAGAGTTTCTTGGAGTACACAATTCAAATATGGCAGAGACTCGCGGTCGCTGAAGTCAGGAAGACGTCCAGAACCAACGACGATGTCAATCTCAGCTTGACAGCGGCGCTGGCACTCTGGATGAAGCAGCATGGCCATGAAAAAGACGCATAATGTGGACCAGGTCTGGTTCGAGTCAGCATCGCGGGAGAAATGAGCTTTTAGTGTTACTTACAGTCTCAGCCCCGGCCCCATAAATTGTCGCCATGACTCCTTTGACCTCTTCGAGCTCGTCTGGAGAAATCTCTCCATCGACCTGAACCCTTTCAACCTCCGATGTAAGGATAGAAGGCCTGTGTATTCCTTGAGCCTGGATATTCAAATGAGAAGGTAAGCCAAAGTCTGATTGAACGACCACCATCTGTTGCATAAACAAATCATAAGGATAGTCGTGCATCTTCCTCGTTGCCCAATGCCACTTCCTCGCAAGATCGGCGTAGTAAGTGCCAGGAAACCATGAACCAGGGATGTATTGCACTTGAAAGTTGTTGCAAAATTGAATGAGGGAGATAAGACTACTTACATATCGGAAAAAAATCTGGAGGCGTGTTTCCCGCAGGGCCCGAGCTGTTGAGCGAATGCACGATGTATTCGGCTATTTCCATGAAAGGATCGTCATCTGACACGATCTCATGTCCGAACGCGATTCGGCTGATGACGGCAGTGGAGAATCTGAGAAGATATTGGTAAGATAAGCTCCCGCTCTCTGAGGAGTTGTTGGGCTGAACAAACGGTTACCTATTGAAATAAAAGTCATAGCGCTCTGGTTTTGCGAGTAGGTTCTTCAGCAATACGCGGGCTTCGTGGACTTGACCAGACTGATATGACACCGATTCCTGACGACCAAAATATTGCTGGAGAACTTTTCGATGCTTCAGAAACCTTTTGCCGTAGGGCATAAAGGTCAGAATTCCAGCCCATCCCATCCTGGATCGCAGTGAGTAACTGATATACCTCCATGATGAAGAAAACGTACAGCTCATACACCGTAAATTTGGGTCTGCAGCTGTATATAGCGCTGCGTTTGTCCAGTAGCTCAACAGCGGTCTCATGACTGTCAATAATGATAAGGTTTCTTCCCAAGACTCGAAGGTGGATTATATCGCCGTATGTTTTGGCCCAGTTATGAAAACATTCCTCTTGGCCTGTCCCTGGTATCTTGAGGAGATGTCCAATGATGGGATGCGCTGGGGGTCCTGGCGGCAAGGGCTCGTGATGGCGGCCGAGAGCCAACCGATATAGAATGGCTAGAACAACAGCAGCTGTGATAAGTTGAGTGATCATAGCAAAGTAGCACAAGGGAAGCTGCTTTCTCAGACGGTCTCATTTTATATACTTTATCGCCGAGTCAGAAGATTGGCCCGCTGACCACCTGGCACTTCGATATTGACTAGGCACCTCCGAGAAGTCGAGCGAGCCGAGATAGCTCCACTTGCCATTCACCTCGACTTCTCGCATGTTAGAATTGGTGACGTCGGACTCTGGTAAATATAACTTGGAGAAATAGTTACTGCTATCATTCTTTAGTCACTTCATACCATCTTAAGTTTAGATATCATACGGACCAGCATTGAAAAGGTCTTGAAGGAGAAATTGCCAGTTTGACGGCTGATATTCAAGTACTATCGCTGGAAGTGACCATTCTTTGCATTTATCTCGATAAGAATTGAGCACTTCAAGGGCTACTGAGTAATTTACCCCCAAGTCACTTTCTGCAAGCTTCCGACATGA